TATACATTTTATAGTGCACACACCATCCTTTTTTATCCAATCTTTAGAGATCACTCCCGAGCTTCATCTGATTACGCCATATGTTCCCTATATAATTTCTTTCATTCAACACGTTGGCCTCGACAGCATTTCAACTGAAGACCTAATTTCCTCCTGCTGCGGTCTTATAGGGTAACAAAATCTTTCTCTGATATATATTGCAATAATTCACTGTTTTTCGTTACTCACTTCCTTTTTTATCCTCTTGTTTATCTGTAGTGACCTCATCACGAGTTTCGGAGCAAGTTTGCTAGAATTAGTCGAGACAGAGGCGATTAGCAATGTGCTAACGAAAGGTAGACGCTGTAAAATGTCAAAACGCAAGAGCCTTGCTATCTGGGCCACTCGTGAAATTAAGAAGTTGAAAAATTCCATCCAGTCTGCGGGCGAACAACAAGCTGCTGCCGCAGTTGCTAGGGCTCATACATCCGAATCATTGGCTGCGGAACAAGTTGTGGGCGCCAGCGCAGGGCTAAATAATAAGTAATATTTGTCAACCCAAGTCTGGACTTCATTACCACGCTCCCATTTCACGGCATGACCTCTTCCATAATTCTCTAATTTTCGTAGCTGTATTGGTTGAAATTCGTACTTCGCATTTATAATCTTGCAAATTTCTCCGACACTCTTATCTACTGATTGGCATTTTTACGCTCTTTAGTTGATGTTCCCTTTGCTGAATCTCAAACTAAAGACTATTTTGTGGAGATTTTTTTCGAATTTGGTATCTTTGCTCCATACTTTAGCGCCACACGTTCACAATTTCCATTCTTATTACTGCCAGCATACATTTGTTAATACTTTTGTCTAAATTCACTTTACTCATGCACGTGATGTCGCATTTACTTGTTTGGATTTCGCATTTTGCGACAGTCTTGTAATTAGGCAGTGCGACAATAAGCGTGTAAATTGAATTTCGACTGAATTGAACTAAGATTAGATTAATTATAACGATGTAAGTAAAAAAAATTTGGTGTCGAAATGCACAAAGCATTGAATTGGTATAATCCAGTAAATTGAATGGGCTTTCTTTGGATTTATTTTGACAAGGCATGAGAGACCTACCGTTCAAACATAGATTTGCCAATCCGTAGATAGACGTATCGAGTTATATAAGACTTGTAGTTTGTATGCTGTCCGAATTCCCTTCAATATAACTGCGGCAAGTTTGCTTTATTGTGGAATGTCTTCCCTTCGGATTTCGATTGTAGAATCTCTATTTTTCTCAGATTTCCAAATATACAGTTTTCATATTCTAATACACTTCACCTTATTGTTTCATCTCACCCAAAACCCGCTGTCTTTCATGCAATAGCTTTCGCTTTATGTAATGTAGGAATAAAGGATACCAGGATTTAAAATTATTATATTATTTTAAGCATTTCTCTAAGTTGGCTTGCATAGCTTTGCTGATGCTCTTATAGGCCTCTTATTTGCTCCAAAGAAAGACAGCGAGTCAAACAGTCTTCAACTAGCTGATTCACCTAGGCTCACGATTTTAGCTTACATTGTGCTGGATTTGGGCATGAAATGAAAGGTATAGTAACGTATATGGGACCGGTCTTGAACTTTCATTTGTC